CCCTGCTGTGGCAGTCACGTGAAGTAAGCAAAGGATAGGAAGAACAATCGAAGGTACAGAATAAGGACGTGCACCTTAAATAAGAAAATAAAACCAAGGCGTGAAGAAAGGTAGAGAAAAGAAACTCGAAGTACGAAGGTGTGAGTTAGTCAGGAAATGGGAAACGTTTCGTGTTGCCACCCAAGAGCGTCAAGTTGCCGCTCACACCCTTAACCGACCGTTCCCTGATGACACTTTCCGGAAGCATGTTCCAGCGGTCGATAACTCGGCGTGATAGCCGGATTTACGCCCTAATCCGATCGGACCGCGGTTTGTCCAGCTTCAAGGAGTGACCGCGTAGAACAGACAATATAGCGGGACTGAATAGCCAAGATAAATCTGGACCAACCTTCGCAGTTAAGATACGGTAGGTTAGGATTAGGTCTCCTCTAAGCCTTCGGTAGTGCACTGAATGCATTCCCAAACTAAGTAGACACTCGCGGTGCGTCCGTCCCCGTAATCCCTCGATTAACCTAGTACCCACTCGTAAAACCCTCTCTAGCTCCATTTTGTTCCGGACGAGGCAGGGCGGACAAGCCTGGACGCTGTATTCCAGATGAGGCCGAACGAAAGCCGAGAACGGCCTCGTAAAGATGCCACCCGTCAAGACTCCGAATGAATGTCGTATTAACCACAACATGCGGAAACCTCTGCTTGCGGCCTTCTTCCAGTTGTCGCCGGAGTGTAAAGCCGAAGAGGGTACGACTCCTAGGTCAATCTGGCTAGATACTCGGGGGAGTTCGACCCCACCGACCACGTACTTCGTAGGAGGACAACCTCCTCCAATTCGAAGGACGGAGCACTTTGTCTGATTTATGGGCAGTAATCATAAGGTAGACCATTCGCACAGCTTATCCAATGCTCGCTGAAGAGCTTCTGAAACCCCAGAAACATCGACAATGTTCCGCAGCTTCAGGTCATCAGCAAATAGCAGCGATGGTACCTCAAGCTCCGCGGGTAGGTCATTCATATCGATAGAGAACAGTAGCGGTCCAAAGGACCGAGCCCTGCGGCAAGCCACTGAGGACAAGCTGCCTAAACGATAGGCCCTTGGCCTACCCGTGCAAACTGTTCTCTACCTTCCAAGAAGGCAGTCACGCAATGAAGGGCGCGGCCAGATACGCCGTAGGAGGACAGCTTTTGTGCAATCCTCAAATGGGGTACCTTGTCAAATGCCTTAGAAAAGTCGACGAAAAGCACGTCCAGCGCGTGGCCGTTATCCGCTGCATCCGCCCAAGTTTCGCGAACCACCAGTAGATTCGGCAGACACGAAAATCTTTTCCGGAATCCGTGTTGCACATTGCTAAGTAGATTAAATCTAATCAGATGACTCTCCAATGAATGTCTCACCAGTTTCTCGAGGAGTTCGACTACTACACTCGTCAGAATAACTGGCCTGTAATTTGCAGGCAAACCCTTGTCCCCATTTTTGAAGATGGGACAGATGACAGCTTCCTTCCATTCAGAGGGCAATGCACAACTGGCAAGCGATTTCTGAAACACAATAGCGAGCGGTCCACTTAGTTCCGCGGCTAACGCATGCAACAGTATTGGGTGAATTAAATCAGGCCCAGAGGCCTTAGAAGGGTTCAGCCCTTCTAACAGTCGACGAACTTCCATCTCCGCTACAATACATTCGAGTAGTTCTGAACCCTCTGGGGTCCTGAAAACCAGCGCAACGCCTGTCAAAGAGGTTTCCCTTACAAACGCCGTCGCATATTGCCCAATAAGTACGCAGGACTTGTCATAGTCCGTATGCGCATAAGTACCGTCATCACGCATCAATACTGGAATTGACATGTTCGAACCGTAGCGCCTTTTGACATAAGCGAAGAATCTTTTTGGATTCTCTGAAGCTTCGTCCGCTAACCCTTTCTCGAAATTGAGCCGAACATCCCTTAGGTGTTGCATACACCTATTTCTAGCCTTACGGTACCTGTCATAAGTATCGGTGGACGGAGCATCTCGGTAAGTCCGCCAACATCTAGACCTCTTTTTGAGCAGATGCCTGCCAGTGGGATCCATCCAAGGTGGTTGTGCTCGTGCCTCCTTTCTCCTTGTGACTGGGATGAAGGGAGCACAGACCTCTGTAAGGTAGGACTTAAATTTATCCCAGGCAACCTCGACAGTATCGTCGTCTGAGATCTCACAATGTAAACCCGAAGCCTTGGCTCTCATGGATTGATAGTCTGCATGCCATATGTTCGGGCGAGACTCAACAGCACTCTGGTAGCGTCTAGACAGAGTACAACTGAAGCGCAGACAAACATGATCACTGGAACCCAGTGGAGGTCCGTAAGTAATGTCATCGACAAAATCGAGTGACTTAGCAAATACAAGGTCTAAGATAGACGGTACTTGGGCGTCCATGTACCTAGTGGGGAGGTCAATGAACTGGTGCAAAGATACTTGGAGCGTAAGCTCAAGCAGATCAGCGCCAAATGTGCTTGACGTTGAATCGCAAGAAAGATCTGCCCAGCAAATCTCTGGGAGGTTGAAGTTGCCCATCACCAAACACTTATTTGCGGACTGGGAGCGAATGAATTCAAGTACCTCTTTGGATACACTCCCAGGGCTTCTATACACAATTACAACTGTAACCTGAGCCGAGGATGTGCTAATAACAACCGACAGAGCTTCAACAGTTTTGTCTGCCGACTGAAATAAGCAAGACTTCAAATAGTCAAGTCTACAGCTCACATAAAGAGCGGCGCCCCTCCCTGTCGGCCAGCAGAGCGATCGCATCTAAATAGTGCGTAGCCAGGTAGGTGTATTTCACCATCCGTGATGTCCTGAGATAGCCAAGTTTCAGTGAATGCGAGTATATCGGGATGAGACCCATATACAAGCAGACCTAACTTGTGCACCTTATTCCTTAGGCTGCGCAGATTACTTAACACTATCCGAAGGTATTCGTTAGATCCAGACCTGGGTCGTGAGCTACTAGAATGGGCAGTTGTAGGGCGGAAAAAGACTGCCGGCTGACCACCCGAAAACCCACTAACCGGAGACCCTATTCACCGGCCGCTCGTCTACTTTTGTGGTCCTTGATGGCCTCCCTTAGCTTCAGCCTATCGGCCAGCGGAGGGTCCGGCTGAACGCTAATATTTGTACTTTGCAGCTTAAACGCAAACCGCATGAGAGCGCTGCGTTCCTCCGGGGTAGAGAGTACCACACGAAGTAGCCGCGGTCTAGGGTTTGGTACGTTAACTGGGACGTTCCCCAGTATAATCAGCTTCCTGACAGTAACGCCTGGAAAACCAGGCGGAGGAAGCTTCGTTACGCACAATTTAAACCATGGAAGGTCGTCCAACATGCAATCAGCAGGAAGGACAGCAGTAGACTCAGCCGCGTTACGGAATATAACGCTACTATCCGTGAAAGAATTGCCACGACGGGGTGTATTAACCCTACGGGTCTGTGATTCGATACTTGGAGCAGGTGGCTTCACCACTGGTGATGGGACTGTCTTTAGCCCCTTCGATGAGGTAGCTACGGCAGCGTATGTTTTTCGCTCCATTGGCGATGTCCTACTTTTGTTAGGGTTATCGATTCCACCGAAAGGCTTTATGGCAGATTTGTCCGCTTTTTCTTCTTGATAACGGGTCAGGGTCCCTTGAGGCTATTTCGCTTTAAGCAAAAGCAAGCAAACCTTCAGAACATGCCTTCTCGGTGAGAACCGAGATTGCCGGCAACTTCGGCTGACAAGTAATGCGTGTTGGAACCTTCGCCTTCGCACAACCGTCAGACGGTTTGCCAAGTAACGACACTTGGCATGTTTCCGGTGTCGCGACAACTATGACTTCTTGCTTAGCAGAGAGCTTACGGGGTTCCCTGGCTCTCTTTCGCTTTACTCGAAAGGACCCTTGAATTAGCAACGGCGTCGATCAGGGTAGCTTTAGATACGACGTCCGAAGCTGCTTCATTTTTGTGGTCGGTAGCCATCTGGACGTGTGACAATGATTGGGGCCACAAGTTGATCATCAGTGTAAGCGATCAAATCTACGTTTTTGGAGACCGAAAGCGTCTTCATGAGCAGATCAATCTTAAAGCGAAGATCTGAGAGCGTCAAGAACGAACGCTCTACATTTCGAAGCCGGGTATCAAGAGATTCGTCTCTCGTACGAAAGGCCGCGCGGCCTTGCCGGCGGCTGCAGCAATCGGCACAACTGAAAAGCAACTTTTCGCTGGAGGCCAGTGCTGCGTACTGCTCGGCATTCAGGTCCGTACAAAGCTGATGGTACCATCGGTTGCAGACATCGCACTGCATACCGCCGGAATCGTCAGTTACTGGTATATTGCAGCTTGGACTGCCACAAAGTGTGATAACCTCAGAATCCAAGAAACCAGGAACAACAGCATCGGTGCATTGCGAGACCGACATAGTGGAAAACGGAGTGGAAGTATAACACGTATACAATAGTTAAACGACCTCAATAAAAAGGCAAAATCTGTGTGCAAAACGGGATTAAAACTGGGAAAATCCGGAAAAATTATCAGTAAGCGCTAAAGACGCTTTGACCAGAACCGCTTTAATCGATCTAAGATAACTTGGATCAGAGGAAGTTTGACAATAGTGAAATTCCGTTGCAAGTGTTTATTCAAACACGGTTTTCCACAATATTGTAGCTAAAAAGCTCCATCAGTATGGCACGCCAAAAATCGAGTTGCCGCGTAGAACTCACAGAGCCATGGCTACTACGCTTAAAGCAGATAAATGAGTAAACACCGTAACGCACTTAAACCGCTTAGTATATTAATTCCGAATCCAACATTTCAACAAACACCCTAAATTAATAATAAACATTCAAATGCGTCCGGTGGCCCCAAAAGTTACATTTAACCACATCCAACCGTGTGTACCGAAATCGATCTGTCGAGAGATCATTGATCGCAATTGGCGGATCTGACGCTCCGCCCCAAATTGCGATCAGCTGTTTTCAAGTAATCCGGCGCTGTCCATGGGTTCCAGCAGCTCGAAGACACTCGATGAGGTCGAAGTAGATGAAATAGCGGCAGAGACTGGATGTGAGTCCATTTGGCCATTACAGTAATTTAAGTGGTTCAGTTACACCACGACAGATATATCGACTTTACAACCGTTTCGCAGCTTTGGATAAGAACAATGTCGGTATCTTAAGGTGAGCATTTAAGTCCGTATCTGCATCCTAATTGTCTTACGTTATGTTTTCTTGTGTAGCAAAAGCACATTCGTGTTTGTTTGTTCTTGTTCCCATTTTGATCAGGTCATCATTTTTGCTTTTGATTGCTTGTCATTTTCAAATATGGCTTCTCAGCTTTCGTCCGGCCCCATCTGGAATACTGCGTCCAAGCTTGCCCGCCCTGCCTTGTTCGGGACAAAATGGAGCTTGAGAGGGTTTTGAGAGTAGGTACCCAATTGGTCGAGGGGTTACGGGAGCAGTCGTACCCCGAGTGTCTACTTAGCGTGCGTATTTTTCAGTGCACTACCGACGGCTTCGAGGAGACCTAATCCTTACTTACCGCATTTTAACAGGGAAGATTGGACCGTACTTGAGCTGGCTATTTAGCCCGGCTAGGTTGCCTTGTCTTCGCGGTCATCCCATGAAGCTACCCAAGCAGCGTTCTGACCGGATCAGGGCGGAAACTCAGTTATTGCGTAGAGTTATCGAGCGCTGGAACTCGCTTCCAGAAAGTGTAGTCAGTGAACCTACGTTTAAGGGTTTCAAGCGTCAGTTAGACGCTCTTGGGTGGCAACACCAAACCTTTCCCTTCTCCTGACCATATCCATCTTCAAACTTAGTTCATATTCTGTCATTCTCTTCACTCTTTAGCGTTGTCCTTCATTTTGATGACTTTCATTCCTCTTTATCTTCCATTTACTCTCTTACTTCACGTAACCTACACAGCGGGGACTGCTAGTGCAGTGGTGAGCCGGCGGTCCACTTCCGCCCTACCAGAGCCGGTTCTGGTGGCGCACGATCCCGGACTCACAATGTTAAATCCTTTCAGGTGATCTTAAGCAATATGCGTAGCCTGCGAAACAAGCTGTGCGAAATCGGCGCTGTTGTCGACGACTGCCGCCCAGATATTCTCGCATTCACTGAAACGTGGTTGTCCACCGACTTCACGGACAGTGAAGTGTGCTTGCCAGGCTACGCACTGCTGAGATGTGATCGCACCTCTGCTCGGCGCGGAGGTGGCGTTGCTTTGTACGTTAACTCCGCACTTACTGTCTTTAAGACGTATAGTTTCACATCATCAGAGGGTGATGTTAAGGCACTCGCAGTTAACCTGCGTATTGCCTCCGCGCAACTTAAAGTTGTGCTGGTCTATAGAAGCCCCGACAGCGTTGCTAAGGGGCTTGCTGATTTTATCCGCGAGCATTCGGCAAATAGGTGTTTAGTGATGGGGGACTTCAATCTTCCTGACGTTGACTGGCAGAATTTTTCCTGCGACGCTGTTACAAAGTGTTTGGCTACCGAGCTTCTCGAGCTGGCCTTGCATGGTTCCCTGCACCAATTTGTCGATCGGCCTACTAGATTTATGATGGGTCAAAACCCGTCCCTCTTGGACTTGATCTTCGTTAAATCCATTGATTTTGTCACGGATATTGCATACAACTCACCTTTCGGTGCTAGCGACCACGCGTGTCTCATTTAAGTGCGCCCTTCGTCGTCAGACTAATGATCATCCCGACCGAGTACCAAATGTATGGCGCGCGGACTTTCAGACAATGAAAGCCAAAGCCGCAAAGTCGCCTTGTGTCATTTTGGAAAGTGACGACATTCAAACGGCCTGGGACAGATTTAAATCATCCTTGAGTGAGCTCTCTCTCCCCCATATACCACTATCTGGCAGGAATAAAACTAGGGCAAAGCCACCCTGGTTTGAATCTGCTTACGCAAACAACTTAACAGACGTGCCAGATGTTGGCGTACTTACTTATCTGCTCCTTCATTATGCACCTTCAAGCGATATCGTGAGGTTCGAAATGCCTGCAGGCAGTATCTACGAGGTGCTCGTCTACATCATGAAGTAGAGCTTGCTCGTATAGCCTCATCAAACCCGAAACGCTTCTTCGCTTATGTCAAAAGGCGAAGCAACATGAATTCGTGCATCCCAGTGTTGTTTGGCCCGGACGGCACTGCTGTTGTCACGGATCACGAAAAAGCTTGTTTGCTCGGAGAACAGTATGCTGGGGTTTATGTTAGAGAGTCACAGCCGCCGCATATCAGTCTCCAGGCAAAAGTTCCTGAGGGCTCCCACTTGGAGGAGGTTTCTATAACCGAGGCTCAAGTGCTTCGGCTTTTGAGGCAATTAAATCCCAATAAAGCTGCCGGTGGAGATGCTATTCATCCCAAACTGTTGTACGAGTTGGCTGATGAACTTTGCCGTCCGATTACGCAACTTTTTGTGAAGTCTCTACGAGGCTTCTCTCTACCCAAGGACTGGAAGGAGGCTATTGTTTGCCCCATTTTTAAGAAAGGTGATAAGCACCTCCCTGATAACTATAGACCGGTCAGTTTAACGAGCGTGCTGGTCAAGTTATTGGAAAAGCTCGTGAGGGACGCTCTCGAAGGACATTTGAAAGCGTTTGAGTTGCTTAATCCTTCTCAGCACGGTTTTCGTAAGGGCTATTCTTGCCTTACTAACTTGTTAACGGCTCGTGAACACTGGGCCGAAGCCGTTGATTGCGGGAAGGCAGTGGACGTGCTGTTTATTGACTTCCAAAGCTTTTGACACCGTTCCACATTCGCGCCTTTTGTACAAGCTGAATTCCTTTGGTATTTCTGGACCAGTCTTACGATGGATTTCAGCTTTCCTAATCGGAAGGGAAATGTGTGTGCGGGTGGGTTCAAGCCTGTCCTTCCGCCAATGTGTTCTCAGTGACGTGCCGCAAGGTTCGGTTCTTGGCCCACTTCTCTTCACTTTATACGTTAATGACCTACCTGGTGAATTGGGTGTGCCATCCCTAATGTTTGCGGATGACTTGAAACTCTGGTTCACTATAGATGAGCCGATTGGTCCACTGACCCTACAGGAGGCTCTGGATAGACTTTGGGACTGGTCAATTTTGTGGCAGTTGCCCGTTAATTTAGGGAAATGTTCCGTTTTACGCGTTGGTCCGAATGACCCGCCGACGCGTTATTTGCTTGGCGGCAACGAGGTACCGCGAGTTCAACTCCAATCTGACCTCGGTGTTTTGCTGTCATCTGACTTCAAGTCCAGTGAACACTGGAAGACAGCTGCTCGTAAAGGCTTCAACATGTTGTGGATGATCCGCAGGTCATTCGGGATCATGACCACCGACATGTTCGTTAGACTATTTTCGGCTTTTGTAAGGCCGCACTTGGAATACTGCGTCCAGGCTTGTCCTCCATGCCTGGTTCGTGATAAGATGGCAGTTGAACGAGTCCTGCGGTCCGGGACGAAAATGGTGTACGAATTAAAGAAGCTGACGTACCCGGAGAGGCTACGTAAGTTGGATATGTTTTCCATGTATTACAGGCGGCTTCGGGGCGACTTGGTCCTCACATATCGTATATTCTTGGGTCAGATTGGTCCTGATTTGACTGGACTGTTTCGCCCAACTCGAATGCCAACCCTTCGTGGCCACCCATGAAAGTTGCACAAACCCCGGTCTGACCGGGTTTTGGCAACTTTTAGATTATCGCGTAGGGTTATAGCTTATTGGAACACATTGCCTGCAGACGTCGTGATGGCACCGACGGTGAAAGAGTTCGAGCATCGACTTGACGCTCTCGGTCTGCAGTTTAAAGTCTTCCCCTTCGTGTCTTAAACTTTTCTTCGTCTACTACGGCTTACGCTTCTTTAACTCATTTTAACTCACATCTTAATATTGCCCACGATATTCGATTACCTTGTCTTCTCCTCTGTTTTCTTTTCTTTACTGACACTACTGTTTTCTTTTATTCTTCATGTGGCCGGCACAGCGGGGACTGCTAGTGCAGGGCACGTGGGCATTGTTTGGTTGACCATATGAATCGTGTGTGTTGATTTGGCTCTCCTTTGGCACATCAAGGCACCGGTTTCCCTGTTGGATCAACGACGTTTTCGAAGGTGGAACATTCGCGGGATTTTCCTACTGTTTCGGTCCCAATTGAACTTGAACTTGCAGGGAACGTGGGCAGTAATTAGTTGATCAGGGTGTGTTTCGGGTGTTTCGTTTTAGATCTATCAAGAACTAGCACCTTATCATTTCCTGGCTCAACGATTTGCTCAAGAAGGAACACTCAAGGGATTTTCCGATCGTTCCAGTCCATCGGAATCTGGCTTCAAGAGCCAGGTCATATTTCTTAAAATGGGCATTCGACAATCTTATTTGGCAAATATCTTCGGTGCTCGAAGTAATTTCTTGCGTAGTATTTTTGTTGCTTTCTCTGGATATTTTCCTGCAGGCCTCAGGTCCCCGGTTGGCGCGGGTTACAGGTACATGCTACAGGGGGCGTGTAGCGGTGTTCACCTTCTAGGCTTCGGTTATGTACTATTCATGATTTGCATGCGGACTGGGGTGCATCGTCGCTGGGCCGTCGGGGCGTCCACCTCGGACTGCAAACAACCAGCTAATCCAGTAAAAGGGGTGATAGGACATGTCGCCCACTGGCCCGTAGCCTTATTGATCAAAAGCCTGCTTTGTAATCCGAGAACGCGGGTTCGTGCCTGCCTAGGAACCGATCGACCCTCGCAGTATCCTTAGCTCACGTGCGATTGGTTGTGGTTGCGCATCGGCGAAGCGTCATTACTGCTGCATACCCGACGGAGCGCTTCTTAGGCCTCTGCAAAGCCGTCTACGTCTTACTTCCCTTAACCTCGTGCTTACTATTTCCCTTGTAATGGCTAATGTAGTCTGTCCTAAGTCGTCATTGATGCCACCAGCTGACTCAGACAAAATGCAATAAGCTCATGTGTTCAGAGCTGGTGACGAACTCGAACTAGCGAAATCCAGTGTGACATCTGCATTCGTTGAGTTTTGTAGTTGTTTGTAATCTTTCACATTTTGTCTTTCCTACCATCACTTTTATCATGGCATCTTTTGTAGTTTGTTTGAATTAACGATTACAGTAGTCTTCTTCGTTGTGTAGGACTAGTTAATACTAGTCCGGTACGGTGCGCGAAATTAAGCGCGGATATCAGAAGA